CCGCCCCGGGTGTGCTGCCGCTGCTGGCGGGGTTGCCCTTCGTCGGGCCGGGCTGGAAGCGGCAGCCCCGGCGGTGAACAAAGAAAGGGGGAGGGAGAACGCGGGTCGTGGCCCACGCGCTTCTGCAGCGGCGTCGGGGGAAGGTTGAGCGGTCCAGTGTGTGTGACCAGGGCTTGGGGGGATATTTGTCTGCAGAGAGAAGGTACAATGTCTCCAGCATGTGTAAGGTACAATGCTGGAAAGGTAGGAAAGGCTTCCCACTCACCTACTGGCCTGCCCGTTGTTGTCTGGCTTTCAAAAATAAATAAAAAAAAAATGCTAGGGTACTTCTTTTTTAAATGGGGTAGAACCCACCAGGCAGTTGTTAGGCTTCATGGTGGTTCATTCCTCCGTTAGTTTGCCCACGTTAAAAGTTTGCATCCGTTTTTTAACTCGAGCTACCCAGACTGATGAAGTCACTTGAATTATTCGCTGGTACAGTTTTAACTGCTGACTTGTTTTTGCTTGACTCGTGCACAAGCACTCGTCCAGCAGCACACACATTTGTGTATTTTGACATACTTGCCTAGGTTATTCTTTTGAATGTGTGGTATATCCAGTAAATAAACTTCTAGTCTGCACAGACCCACCAGACAGGATGTGCTACTAATCTCCCAGCTTCCTATAACACCCAAGTTGAAGCATCGTATGGCTGGTCTGCAACGTGGAGCAGAGGTAGTGGGAGTTGCAGATGAAGCTGCTAAAAGTCTGAGAAGACTTGTAGCTCTTGTTTAAAATAGGCTTGTCTGAACAAGCTAGCTACCACCTCTGCACTACGCAAACCTAGTTTAGAATGACTGTTCACTGTGTCAGGCTTCATCTTGCTTCGGAACCAGAGAATTCCCCAGTCAGTTAAAATTAGTATTTCTCATAGTGATCTCCTTTTTGGAACAGGGTCTGAGTTGGCTTTTTTAAGATGCTTTCCATTTGCTGGAAATGAATTTGCTTTGGGGCAAAGAGTGTAGGCCTTCTGGTTGAGTATAATAATGCCAGCAGGAGCGCATCCATCGGTATCAAAAGGGCATTGGATTTTCTGCTTTTGTGCCTTGCCACAATGCTCAGCTTCTTTGCAGCTGGATTAGATGAGTCCGTGGTCTTTGGAGGACTGTGCAAGTCGTGGTTGTTAGTCGATACTGTTCCCAAATCTGTGAAACTACAAAGTACATATGCCTCATGTACAAGATGACAGCCTCCTGACAATTGGTGGTGTGGGTGTCTGGCGTGTTCCTGCTTGCCTTGTTAGGATATCACTATCAAGAGGCTCCTGCTGGGAGCAAGGGCTGACCTAAGCGATCTCATGTGGGAGAGCCTGCAGACAGCCAGAACTTGCATGTGAAGCTGTTCAAAGCCTTTTACTTACCTTAATCTTGCTTGTTCAGTATTCACAGCAATCTCCAGGAAGGATACTTCACTATCCTACACAGCCTGTTTTTAAGGGTGAAGGTTGAGCTTTGGGTTGCTGTAGGTGCTTGGAGGGCCACAAGAAAAAAAAAAATCTTGTACACACTTGGGCTTATAGTAGCTGATTTCTGCACTGATGTGTTTCTAAGCAGCCTTGCTTTCCTGCAAGGGTCCTGTTGCTTACCAGCTTACACCCACATTACCTTGAAAACATTCATTTCAACACAGAAATTGGTACTACTTGAAGCTTCTCTCCTAGTACTGGCTACCACAGTTCCTGTTTTTCAGCAGTGTTGCTGGGGTTGCCTTTTGTGGGTATTGCTTGTTCTGCCTACCTTGATAGTTATATCAGGAGTGAACTTCATGGTAACCTGGAGAAGGTGACAATTTCCTCTTTGGCTGAAAGCTGAGGATATAACCTCCAGGTATGCAGGGCAGACATTTCTTTCCTGCTTTTTTCTTTCTTACTCATCTCTCCTTGTTTAGTTGATAAACTTTCTTATTGGCAGGAAAAAAAAAAAGATGAATGGAGTTTTGATTCCCTCCCCCTCAACTTCCCCCCCAAAAAAAGAAAAAAGAGACTGAATAATGCAAAATAAAAAATTTCAGTCTAGCTGGCAAGATCTGCCTACAAGTGATATGCAAATAACTCTGTACTTCTCTCTGGTTTATGATGTGCAAATAATGGCCTCTTACACAACAGCAGTAAAAAGGCAGTTAGTTACGTTTCCTATCATGCTTCAGATCTGAATTGAAGCTTTGGACTTTCAGATGCATAATCTGCCTGGCATAAATGGAGGTGTCTGACTGGCTGGCTGTAGGTGGCAGATGACATGGCCCTCTTGGGACTTGGGAGGTCAGTGCTGTTCCAACACTGGTGCTGGTCTTTGGGGTGAAGTTAAACTAGTTCCTCCATGTTTTGCCTCCTTTCCTACTCAGTAAAGTGGGGGTGGTAATATCCAGTGGCTTTTCTTGAGTGCTCAAATAACAGATGAAAAGCAAAGCAATATTTCAGATCTTTGTATTTTTAACCACCCACGCTTTCAGTCAGCTATGTGACTCTCCCTGTCTGCTAGGTGCTCTCACAACTACCTTGGCTTAGCTTTCTCTTCAAGGTCTCAGTGCTGATTATGTCCCAGGGTATTGCGTGGCAGTGAAGAGGCAGCTTTGTCAAGGCTGCTGTCCCAGAACAGTAGGGTGGTAATAGATCTAATTGAAAAAATATTTGTCGCAGAGATGTGCTATGACACATAACTGAGTCAGATGGAAATGCCACATGGTTACACAGGCAGTTCTGGCAGTGGTAAAGGATTTTGAAGGTAAATGGGAGGGATTGTATGCCAAGCATAGAGGAAACAAGGTGTTAGCTGAAGAAAGTGGGAACCAAATATGTTGATTAGTGAACATGGGGAGCAAAGGTGTTCTCAAATCTCTGCCATTGTAATAAAACAAGGCATACTTTAGTAAGTTCTTGGTGTCAAATTCTGGAAAAATGCTTTTCCAAGAAGCAAAAGTTTCCACTTGAGTAGCTGTGGATAGCCTACATTGATGTATACAACCTGTGTATATGGTTCCCAAACAAAACAAGTCAAGAACTGGGTCTTGAACTTGGGTCTCTGCAGATAACACATATATTGCCATGGAGGGCCCTTAGGTTTTGATCACAAGGAAGAAAACCCACACTGAAAAATTGTTAATACTTAAAAACAATTTAGTCCCTCAAACTAAGGCAAACAAAGTCATTGGCTTGAATTCTTATTAACTTACAGTTGAGGAGGAGACAGAGACTTTTCTTTGGTAAAATATTTTAAATATTCAAGGAGAATACTGCAGCTCACAGCACTTCATAAAAAAAAAAAAAAAGACAAGGCAAATTTCATTGTGTCAAAGTTGTGTCTCAATGCAGGCTTGCTACATACCCCGTTTATCAGGCATTTGGCATGTGTCTTGCTCCTGAAATGGCTGGGGGGGGGGGATTTTTTTGAGAAAGCTTTGGATTGTTCTTCAGTCTTCCCCACTGCATTGTATCACCCAAAAGTCCTGTTTGGATTAAATTTCAATTGTAGTGTACTTTGTAGGCCAAATTTTGGAAGCTGTTAGTGGAGGCAGCTGGGGACAGCTCTTGCGGTTGGAAGCCTGGTAGACAGAAGGGTCTCTCTTTTGGCTGCCCTGTGTAGGGATGGTATTCTACTCTTGCAAGACTTCTGCAGTGCTTTGCACTTAAGGCAGGAACGATGGCTTTGTGTGGGGAATAAGAGCTGCTGTGTTACTGCAGTGCATGCTGACGAGGCATTTAATGCAACCATTACCTCATGTGCCTACAGCAGTCTATATGAAAATACAATGGGGATACTGGTGTAAGCGTTCCAGAGTAATGTACGAGGCAACAGTGCTCGTGAGACGTGCCACCTTAGTGATAGTTGCGTGGAGGTACTGGGGGAGAATTAATTTTTGCTGATTACCTCAGAGAAACTTGCTCTGTCAATTCTTGCCTGAATGTGTCCCTGAATGTGCTGTACTGGCATCATTTTTTCCTCTGATAATTAGGTGGCCTGCCTCCTTGCTGCTGTCTTGTTTCAGTGAAGTTAGGAGGCCCTGCAATGGTTTTAAATTTGGGTTGCCTGTGTTACAGGGTTTGTCTCTCCCCTGCAACAAAACGTCACCATCTGATGATCTTGTTCCCCAAAGTACCTGCTCAATTAACAGCTACCCATGAACCAGTCCAGGGTTGGATAGCTGCTTGCATGCTGAAAAAGCAACAGCACCAGGCTAGCTATTGTAGCCCTGCAGTATTCAAGCCAGAATGCGCAAAATAATAATGAATGTGCTGTATTGAATCATCTGAGCAGTGCAATATTGGGCGAAAGAGAGGAAATCCAGACTAACAAATAAATGATTATTCTTTCATTACTGGCCGGATAGAGGCTTCTCACTAGCTATTCTTGTAGACATATCAGCAGAGAGACAGTTAAAATGCTGATTGAGGACATGTATTTATGAGGGGTGCATTTCTCCTTGTTCTGCTGCTCTTAACAGTCATCCTGTTGCTGCCCTACAGAGAATGGTTGCAACCAAGTTTTCAACAAAAGCTGCCTAGGGTTTGTTGTTTTTTTTCCTTTTTAAGTATGTTTATGAAGCCAGTTGTGGCTGGTACAAGCCCAGAGTTGAAGAGAGAGTTCTACAGTTACAAAAATAGATCCTCTTTTTGGAAGATTTTTACTCTTCCAAAGCACTGAGAATTTGTGGGTTCAACTCAACCCATACTGTGACACAGCTATAGGGATTTCTCAGATGGAACAAACCTGCATTGTCTGTAGCAATATAATGGCCGCTAATGTCAGCCTGTGTAATGAATCCAGGGGTTGTACAGCAGCTGTGAAAAGGAGTAGCACCAGCTACTGATAGCCTTCTACTTTGGAAAGCTAAAAAATCCACTTTTTATTATTGTCCCTTCAGCTTGTGGTCAGTCCTAGTTATCAGCTGCAGTTAAACAGTGAATTTTGAGTTTCCAGACTAAATACTCTGAACATTTTTGGAATCTAAGCTGACTTGTCCATAGTGCTTAGTTTCTTTATAAGGAAACAACTTGTCTCCTGACTTGGAGACAATGTTTCTGGGTGTGCATATGCTCGACTGCACAGTTTGCATGAACCTGCAGCAGCTCCATTGCTGCAGCTTGCTTCTGGCTCTGTTGAGCATTAACCTCTTCTTTCAAATTTAACTTCTTGGCCGCAGGAATTAGTGACAGGAGCAAAGATAGAGCTGTGTGATATGAACTGATTTTATGCAATTGGTAGACTCATTCCCACACTCATGCAGGCTTTCTAAGCGTTTTCTACTTAGAATCTTGACAGTTTTGTGACTAGAGCTCAATCTTAACACCTGGTGTGCACTACCGAGGTGCCATTAGTTAGAAGACAGACCTCGGGGGGTGGGGGGTAGGTTTTCTTGAGTTCTCTGTGAGTTTGTCCTTAGTGAATGATGCAATCGTTCTAGTTGCTGCACTGTTTGCTTTGTTAGAGCAACCTTGTATTATTTAGAGTCTTCCCAGAGAGCTCTTGGCCTACACCAACCACAGGAATGGGAGGAGAAAGACCTTTATTCCTCATTAGTTCTTGCTCACACTCTAACAAAGTGCAGTCCCTCCGTATGGAGAAGGTGACATAGGAATGAGTCATTTTGAGTCGATGTTTGTACATTTGCTCAAATTTATCCTGGAATAGGCTTTCTCTGCTTACTTTCCTGGCCTTATTTGAGATATGCAGAAGGATGGCTGCCTGCCAGGCAGCTGAGGCACAGTGACTTACTCCCTGTTCTCCTATCCCAGAGTAAGTGCAAGGATTGTGGATAGATTATCCCTAATAGACAAGCCATGCATTGTAAATTTTGAAGGAGGTCCCCTCATATTTGAGTAAACCCCTGAAGAGCCCTGTTATCCTTGCTGGAGTAAAGTTGCTGCCTTGGATTCACTGCTGCATGAGATTGCTCTGGTTTTGCATTACTAGTAGTCAGGAGATCCCAATCCCAAACTCCATGGTAATAGATTCTGGCAGCTGTGCCACCACTCTTAGCCACCACTGGGTTAGCAGACCTATGCCAGCCACTAGAGGTTACAGAAGAGAGACATTGGTAGAAAAAAGGAGACTTGGCTCATCTGAGGTCCTGTGTGGTGGGCATTGATCAAGGCTTTTTTTAAAAATACACATTAAGTAGTTGTCCAATCAATAACCGTATCTCAAGGACAACCTGATTGAAAGCTAGCACTAAGCAGTGCCACTTCGCCACTGATCTCCCTATATTTTCAGCTGAACTCTGCTGTTTCTTTAGAACATTTCCACTCTTGACAAGGTGCAGTGTTGTCCTCAAATTTAATCCATCAAACACATTTTTCGGGGCTGAGCTTGAGGAAAAACAAGATTGAGAATAACCTTTAGTCTTTTTCAGGTGGTGTATCTCACATAATGCTTTGCCTGACTGCTTAGCACTACTGACTGTGCCTCTAAAAGCATGTTATGGCAGTTTACACAGAGGGAGGAGGGCAATTCTCCTGCTGAGATACGAATTGCTGTATCTGAAGATAATGTATTTGGAAGACCAGAAACAATCAGGGAAAGAAGCAGGATTAGAAAGAAATCTCACTGTTTACATTGCATGCTGCATTTTGAAGAGATAAATGAGTGTTGGACAGGCTTCAATTTGGTCTTCACTGCTCTGGCCATGTTGTCCTTCCAGAATTGTCTGCTGGACAGTATGGCTCCCCATATTTGCAGTATTTGCTATTGCACAGCTGCCTTTGAGCTCTCCCAAATGTGATGCAGTCTGAGAGCAAAACTCAGATGTGAATGCTTCTACCCTGCCACCTCTC